AGATCACCCTTGTGCAAAATGTCACAGTCCTGTAGCAGTCTTACAGAGTGTTTTTTTATAAGAGGGAAAAGATGTTCTTTGACAGCTGCTTTATAAAACCAGCCATGATGTTTATTCTCTGGACAACTGCTTAACCCCACAGGGCATATTCTGCAGGAGAGGCTTCCCAAGCTTGAACACATGTGCAGGGTACTCCACACCTACTTGCCAGGGTCTGACAGCACTAAGGGCCCTGGATGGACTCCTGCTCCCATCTGGGAATCTCTCAGCTCAGCCCTGGCCATCAGTCCCTCCTGAGCTGCATTGAGGTGCACTGATCCTGCCATGATTGCCTTGGACAGACCCCATATTTCAGCCACTACCTTGCTTTGACGTTTGCTGTTCAGCTGCTCAATGGACTTTTTACTGCTGCCACCACTCAGCCCTCCTTGGGAGCTGTGGATAAGAGGACAAAGGCCACTGTACAACAGGATGAAGTTTAGAGTAAGTCTGGCCCATAATTCACCAGAATGTCTAAAGAAATACATTAATACCTCTGCTATGTCTCTGTGTGTTACACACAGCCCCCACCAGAAGGCGGATACTCTGTCATTCAAACTTTAATCCTTTGATCTATCCTACTTATCAAGTGTATTAAATGAGAGAGATCTTTTTAGAGTGTTACTGGATTTAGTTTGCACTTCAGAAGAAAAATATGTAGGCTCCAGGTCTATCTACTGTAATGCTTTATTAAACCACTTATAATTGCCATCTGTATTTTCACCACTGACACAGAGCCACATGCTGCATCTCTATTTTGGTGTTTTAAACCCTGTTTTAAAAATTCTGTAGCTTCTTGATATATATTGTGAGTTATCTACCATTTCTGGTCAAAAATTATTTACCTCTGGGACTTCTATTTAGTAGCTGTTAGCAGTGAAACTGATACCTGAGGAAAGGGTCAGCTATTAGTCTTCCTGCTTGTATGTCTCTGATGGAAGAAAAAGGCTAGGGAAGATGGTTATTTTCCTTAGAGAAAGAGAAGAATGATATCTGAGAGCAGGGGTGTGGGGTGGTGACTCATAAGCAGCTGCCACCGGAGAGCTCAGTGCCTTGCTCCCACTGAAATCCACTGAGCACAAGTGACAGTGGGCATTGAAAGCTCAATTCTTTTGGATGTTACAGCAGTGGGCAAAGGTCCTCCTGGCTACTGAAAGCTTTGAACTAAGTCCTCCAAGAAGTCTGTGCATGTGCCCTTGGCAACCAAGGTTTTGACACTGAGTAGGAAAACTGGTGCTCAGAAAGAAAATTTCTGCAGGAGGGAAGTGGCTGCTTATGTTGCAGGGGAGGCAATGGCAATGTGCTCAGAGGAGAGCAGCCCCTGTAGCACCTGCAGTGCTGCTGCCTGGAGAGCTGCTGAGGTAAACATATTCCATTTGTCTTTTACACAGAAGTCTTCTGACAGCCATTGCTCTAATCAGAACCACAACATTTTTTTTCATTTAAGCATTTGTTATACCAATCTGAAAGCAGAATAAAAACAGGCTCCCACACCACAATGCTGGCCTGTTGCCAATTACTTCACTTTCTGGCACACTTTTAGACAGGTCTCCTAACTCCTACTCTGAATGAGACACATTGATTTCAAGTACAAAACACTGCACAGCTCTCCTCAGGTAACCTGTCATAAGCAGTTACAAACT